TTAATAAACTATTTAATAATACTGATTTTTACCTGTGACTTCATACGTTTCTCTATTTCAATGAAAGACGGAATTTAGTATTTGTGATTGAAATAAGTGACCTTGTACTCTATCAACAAATTTAAACTGTTACAGACATACAGAAAAACATATTCTTATTATTTCCTTGCGTATTCACTTTATACGTACTGATTGAATAAATTGTGTTATCGCAATTAATATCTGAGATTATATCACAAAATTTTACGAGAAATAAGAAACTTCCGAAATATAACTATCAAATGCAAAAATATATCTAAAAGAATAAGATCAATACAAAAAAATAATCATTTAGTATGTTATAAATGTTTTTTATATGTCGAGTAAATTCAATGCTACATTGTGTATTTTATCGTCCGCGGAAACTATTTTCTTTACTCTTTGAAGTTATGATCCGAAAATAAAACAGTTCTTTTGTATAATTTATCTTGAGAAATATACAAGAGATATTTTTATTTCATATTGTGTTTTATATGTTACTTTTGGTATTGTGATATCTAAGAATTTAGCGAGTATTTAAATATAACTAATGTTTTCGGATATACTGCGAATATGTTCATTTTCATCTCGTCTGCCCATGATCACGGTTGCTCCAAAGTAACCGAAACGTCGGGAGTATATAGTTGTAAAATAATAAAAAAAATTGTAGTATAGTAGATAATACAATTAGTTTAATTTAAATACTTTTGGTAATTCTAGTAACTTTAATGAAAAAAATTACAGTTTATGTTTACGAGAAGCCCTATAAGGTTACTGAGTCGGAAACTAAGATCATTAAGCTTTTAAATCTCAAAAAACATGTGGGAGTGCCATTGAAATTTTCCTAAATATACTCTTAGAAAGCATCAAAACAAATTCATTTAATTTTATGTCTTATTTACTAACATACACGACGTATATTGGCAAAACTTTGAGAATATTTCGTAGGTCTCTTCGAACAGTGGCATTAAAAATGTCAATTCTATACATTCATAAAAAGAATAAAATGTACGTCTTTATGCTTTTCGGAGATGACGTCGTAAATATTTCTGAGGTTCATTCCGCTCATTTCGTTTATGTTTTAACGCTTGAGGTTGTTTTGGATTAAACAATATTATAATATACTTTACAAGCAGCGCCCAATTTTACTCACAATTCCTTCAATTTCTTTCAATAAATTTCAGGAAAAAATATGATAGAAATATAGGAAAAAGTTGCTTTCTCTTATGTGTTTTTTTATAGTAACATAAAAAGAAAATAATGTCTTATTACGACATAGTTCATGCTTAACGAAACAAGAACAGAACACTACCAATTAAAAAGGATGTACTTGAAAAATATGAATGACTCTAAAATTGCAATGTCTGTTAGGTAAACAAAGAGCGTGTTTCTATGTTTTAAAGCTGCGTATATATTGCGTATTTATTTCAGGTTCTTCGTAATTAGTCTGAGATTTTCAGAAATATAGTAAAATGGTAGTAGATGATTGAAACTTTTAATAATTTTCATTTCATTTTTGATATTTTTCGCATAATTTTAGGACCTAAAAATTATCTTCATAATAAATATGAAGATAATTTATATTTTTGCATCTACATACGATTATACAGGTTGTGTATGATATTGTTGGTTGGTTATAATATTAAATTTGGTTCTTAGTATTTATATTTCAAATGAAATATCTGTAATTACATTTTATATTTAACTACATACTCGTACTAATAAACACTTACGAGCTTCACTATGAGTTAAGAAGACTGCTTACAATCAATGCAAAAAAAGAAATACCGTTATATATGGACAATATTACTTATCATCAATACTTTATAATGATCATGTACCCATAACCAACACCTGTATAATCATGCTGTACTTAAATTTGGTTAAAGAAAAGGGTAATATAATAAGAGACAAGTCAAGAAAATTCAAAGGAAAAAGCCAACGAACGATAAATCACTTAAGTTTATCAAGAATTTATAAGACGTGCATAACGTGTCAAGTTAGTTTACGAGTCGAGTGTAGTTTGATTAAAATAACTTCTCCCTTCGCTAATGAACTACAGATTCATCAAATTCTCACCACTACTTGATGGGATAAGTTCCAAGAAATAGGACACCTGAAGCAAACTATAACTTTAATATTCTACATCAGTTTTATATATATTTATATCATACTTTATTTATTTTTGTTTATTATGAATGTAGTCTTTTAGTGAATTCAGTAAAAGATTTGGTGTTAAATACACATGTTTAAAGCAATTTATACCTCCATAAGTTTGAAAACAATGAATCTTCATATCAGCATATTAAGATACTGTTGATATATTTATATGTGAGAGCGAGGTGATCTTCGTTGTAACGAGGCCAAGACTCTAATTCCTTAGGAGCACTACGCGTAGTTTCGTTCAGTACTGATGACGAAGGAAGGCTTTCCAGTTTGAAGATAAGATAGTCTTTACTCAAAATGATACTCATCTATTGGTATAATTTTTTTGCAATTACTGTCGACAATTGTATAGCAATGATTCCACCACAGTGAGTCCTAAGAGTGACCAATCTAGAATGAATTCAGCACAATTATGCTTAGACTTTTACATAGGAAATCCTCCTGTACAATTTTGGATATGTAAACAAAACAAATACGATGACTTATCGCTAATATTATTTTCTATCGTTAATTTGGGTAGTTTGAAAATAATTATAATCACTTCACTTATGACAGTTATTACTACTAACCAATAAATAAACACATGAAAATATATATTTTAGATATTACAAGGCTCTCGGAGTTAGATACATATATATTAAAATTACTTATACAGTGAACATAACTTATAGTGCCCAATAAAGATTCTTGGTCTTAAGTACTTAGTCTCAGCAGTTTCCTAGTAATATATAAAAGTATTACAATAATACTATTACATGTTACAAAGGATCTGTTCGAACAAGTTGTCTAGCTTACACCACAAAGCTTTTTATAGCTTCCTTAATCTTTAAATGTGGCTTACAGCCCCAATAAAGATATAGGTCTTACTTTTATCCAAAATCATGTAAAACGACTTTTGTGACGACATGAATTGTATAGTTTTTCATTGACTTACCTTCACTGAAAAGAAAAATGTTTATGTGAAAAGCTTTCATTATAATTTGCTTCAGTTGTGCGGCTGAAGTATTATTAACTGGAAAATAAGCAGTGAAACGCACAACTGAGTACGGGTTTTTGTGAGCTATTACAATAATATTATGGAATTTGATTTCAACTTTTTATTATTGTATGTGAAAAATAACTTCTTAAAAAATATATAATTCTTTTTATTACGCATTCATATTTTTCGTCTATTAAATAGATAAATAGTTTTATGTTCACTGACATTATTGATTGTAAAAAGGACTAATAATTTCTAATATAATCTTCCTCTAAAAAAATTTATATCATCACTAGTTTTAAGAAATAGTTGTGTCTAAAATAACTATATCGCCTCTAAATCTTCTTTATATTTCTGTTTACGTACGTCGCGATAATTAAATGATAATAAACTTCAGCTGGCATACATTTTTTATGTGTCTAAATTGCAGAATGAGTTGTTCCAGGAGTATTAAATTTGTATATCTAAATATATGCTGCTTTGTAAATGAAGCGATTAGTTGAGAAAATCTGTCTCTGAAACGATGTTTATATTATATATAAAACTATTTTAATAACAAAAAAATATATAGAGTTCAATAGAACCGTTCTACGGCACAGCTTTATGTTTTAAACTGTGCATCATTCTGATATTTAAGCTTTATAATTCCAAATTTGTGAAAAGGTCATTCAACTGTCAGTGACTAAATAATAACCAATGTATAGAAATATGTCAGTAACTTAATAAATTATGAAAGTATATTTCCAGCGTGATGATCTTTTTGATTGATTGGTCTTAATTTACATTTCATTATAATTTTTGCAAAATATTAATTGGAAACATTTATTAAAAACTTTCTTTATCGAAATTGCACAAAACTTCTTCACTTTTTAATTTTAAAATAAATTATTTTTTAGTTAAAAAACTAAAATATTTGAGGTGATTGCATTTGACATTTTGTTTAGTTTAAAAGTTGGCAAAGTTATATATAAATAAATGGTTTTAAGTGACTTTTACTTACAATCATTCTATATATTTTTTGCCAAGAATTTTTCATGTATCTAATTTTATCTTCTGGCCTCATACCATATAAGATAAAACAATTTCAATCAATTCACATAATAACATTAAACCATAATTATGTGACTAAGTTCTAGCAATTTCCTTTATAGTGTAATTTTTGAGTAGTATATACTTGAAATAGCTTAATTTTCATTTTGTACTTTCCAAATTTACTAGGGTTGGTCATAGCCCAGGATTTAATTATACTATAATTATAAATGCTTTTGAAATGCACAAGATGTTTTCTTGATTATTATAAGTGTAAAAAAAAAAAAAATCTACTATGATTCTATGTAAATAAATTAACTTACATATTTATATGAAATATGTATATATTTTCTTTCATTCATTATTTAAAAGTACGAATATCACGAAGATTAATGTGTACTAAGTGGTATGTCCTAAAATCATAGAAAGGGTGTCTCATTTCTCTCTCCCAGAATTAACATAGCCATTTCTCAAGGAAATGTGTCCAGATCTAGCCACTATATCATTTACTTGACATTTTTATGATAATAAGCGAGAATATATTTAAATATATTTTGTATATGATTTCTATTTTATTTATGTATGTATGTATTTAATTCATGTATGTAGGAAATAAAAGACAGGATGAATATTTAACATATGTAAACTTTGAGGTCGATAATTTGTTCAATTTGTTTTTTAATTTAAAATATTTCATACACTTTTATATACATTCAAATTAACCCTTCGTGTTATCTAATCCTAATCCATTTAAACAAAAACACATTTGGTTAACTTTTAGTACATAAGGCATTCCATCCAAATTAAAATGTCGGTATTGTTACAGAGGGAGGATCCCAGTATGAATCTTACCCTTAATGCCTCAGCAAGATGGTTAATCGAGGCATCCCGGGGGGTCCAGAATCCCAATATTCTACTAGAGAAATTCTCACAAAACAGAAAAGTGGACGACCCAACACGATCCCTGCTCTTAACCTTTTACGTCATCTTAGTGGTCATTGGCGCTGTTGGGAATGCTTTAGTAGTAATATCTGTAAGTATAAATATTTTTATTGCAACATAAAAATACATTAATCCTTTATATAAAGTTATGCCTAAAGACGTGTAGGTATAAAAAATATGTTATAGTAACGTATTTTTAATATATCTAGTTCGCTTAATTATAACGATAAATTATTTAAAATATTCGATTAAATTTGAATAAAGGATGGCATCGGCATTGAAGAAGTCTTTTGCAAACTGCCTACAACCGTAAATCCGCCTGAATTTAGTTAATAATATTATAAATATATGGATGTTTTATTTAACTGTATGAGTATAATTTTTGGGAATATGTAAATTTTTAAAAATCTAGTTCTACTCTAGAGTTAACAAAATTGTTAACGCTGTGGTCTTGAAATAAGAATGCTATAGTAGCATTGTACACGGATTATAATTGCTTTAATGGTATTGCAAAGAATTAATTTAACATAAAACCAAACAAAGGCTTATATACATATTCAACTTTTTCTTTCTTTGTATTATTTTCTTAGCAACTCTAACCAGATTTTTTGTTCAAAAACAGACTTAGATATAATAGGTATATCTGATCGATGACAAATCTAATATTTACATGAAGGTCATAGTTAGCTGGAAAAAATGTTTAAATTTAATCAAATTGGTATAATGTCGACTTTTAACAAAGAGTGTATTTCAGCACAAAATAGCTAATGAGATACATGTACTCTCTTACATAAATCTTAAGAAATGCTACTTCTGAAATGATTCTGTTAAAAATTTATGAATACAATTTTAATATTAAAATTTTAATTCAGGGATGTATTCGTAGCACATTTTATGATTTACACAAGTCGTACTGTGACTTAGATGTGTATAATGAATAATTTATGTTTTAACGTCGATCACAATAGCTTCACTGTGGTAGAATTCTTATATTGAAGAAATGTCCAATTACCTCTTAAGATCAGTGTGGATGACAGACATGTAATTGAGTGTTTTATGACAGGTTCACAGAGTCTAGATAATTGGCAACCATCTTTTTTAGATAATTGGCAGCAATCATTCACAATACGTATTTTTTTTTTCATATCGAAAGCTTTACTTATAATTAAGGCATAACAATAATGACTTATACATGTGAAAAAGATCATTTACATTGTATATTCATGACTAATTCTTGGATGATTATATTGTTGTGGACCTTCTTATGTCATTTTTAACTATTTTGTGTGCTACAATAATTGTTACTGTACAACATTTTACAAATACATTAAGCCATTTTCATATTATAATTGCAGTTTTAATACAATTGTTTTATAAAAGTATGAATGTACCCTTTAAAATTTTGATTTTAATATTGTATATGACAATCTAAAGATTGTTTTTTTGTTGATTGGTTGGTTATTTCAAATGTGGTCTTCATCAGTGTAAAGACGTGTACTGTATATTCTGCCGGTGTCGTGTAAAATGGAAGAGACAAGAATGTTTTTGTATTTTTGTAATTTTTACTTATCAAGTGTCGTCATGATATCCAAATGTAAATATCGACTAATCCGTGTCTATTGTTTTCAGGTAGTGCGAAAACCGGTGATGCGAACAGCACGTAATATGTTCATAGTCAACCTAGCTGTATCTGATGCGTTAGTTTGTTGTGTCGGTACACCACTTACATTAATGGAACTTTTGACCAAACATTGGCCATTACCAGATTGGCCCAGTCTTTGTAAAGCCTGCGGGGCAATACAGGCTATATCTATATTTGTTTCAACGATCTCCATAACAGCTATCGCACTAGATAGGTATCAGGTAATTATCAGGTTATATTGAAACAAAATGAAGATTTTAAACCATCGAAATAAATTTTTTAAAGATAAAACCTTCAAACTAATACCAATATTGATTATTGAATTACGAGCATATGGTTCAAAAAATTCTATAACATAGAGTCATAGACTGATAATGGTTGTTAAACATCAAGTTTATAAAAAGGAAACCAAAACCTTGATAAGTTCTCATAACTTGCATAAACGAACGAAGTTCTAAGAAATTACGCATAGCAGGTATTAAGAAAATTTTTGGATTTACTCTTAAGAGAATAGTTAACAGTGAATGATGATCTTTAGATTCATACAAGATGTGATTATTATAGTATACCTTTGATCCTAAATAAACTGTTTATGCAGCTTCCAATTACGCTGTATATAACATACAGTTTTGTCTTTGACGTCAGCTTTGAAATTTTAACCACCTGTCGGAAACACAAGTTCACAGAACAATTTATATTTACTTAGAAAGGCTAGTTTATTTTTTAGTAATTATTAATGGTTTGAAGACAAAAAAAAATAGCAAATATAAACCCTATCATAAAAAGGAACACTCATATATATTTTTATTTAACTTAAATAGTCACGCAGTAATAGTGACTCATAACGTTTAGTGCTAAATCGTTATGACTACCAAATAACAGCTTTGAGATGGTTATTATAGGAAAAACACAGAGAAGTGTAATCAGTCTATTTATATGCACAAAGCGATTTTCATTTAGTTTATTGCGGCGATTCTAATAAGAGAGCGCTTTAGATAGGAACGGTTAATACATCTTACTTTGGCTGACTTTGAATAATACTTTATCTGCGATTGATAAATATTTATTTGAAGTAATGAAAATTTAGTTTGTATTAAAACGCTTTAGTTAATATTGAACAAAACCTGGATATGAAAAATAAATATGTTTATTTACTATGAACGATTTGAATATGAAAAGTACAGGTTAATAAACAATAGTACATGCTTGTATAGTTCTTTCGATTATGAAAGATAATATAATATGTCGTAGTCAGAAAAACAACAAATATATATAAAAGTATGCATAACAATATTATCTTTGTATCAAGATTAAAAAGTAAATAATAAATAATGGAATAATGTAACTACTTATAGATTACGAATGAAAGATCAAATTTATTTAGGACCCTGTTTGTCTTATAGCAAGATATTGTTATCGTGGATTCAATATAACGAGTGTGTTGTTTATATAAATTGTTATGATAGTCATAAAGAACATAATAAAAGAGTGATAAAAATCCATCCAAAGATATCGATATGAGTATTTCAACTTTTGGTGAATATTTCCGAAGTACCAGCCATGTATTGTCGAAAAAAATCTTAACAGCGCAGCATCACATTAGTACATCTGAGGTAACAGTAATACATTACCATAATCCACTTACATCCCTTCGATCGTAATTTCCGCCTCACAAAATTTTATAGACGTACAAGTGAAATATATTCTCGTATCTAGGAGAAACTCAAGTTAGATCAGAATTTGTTGGTTTAGGAAGACATAATGTCTGGAAGAAAAATTTAATTAAAGTTAAAGAAAATCTAACATTTAAAAGAACTTTTGTTATCATACGCACAACGTTTATTTTAATTACTTTTGAATGTTTATAAGTTCGTTTATAATAAACACTAGAAAAAAAAATATTTTTTATCACAATAACTTCTGATTTGTAAACTAATTCTAAAATTATTTTATAAAAAATTCAAAAAATAACTTGCAATCATAAATCACAACTATACTCATATTCGTTTAAGACTTCTTTTATAATTAATTACATATTTATTCCAGATGTTTCAATATACGAAACACAGTTTAATTAAAAAGCCCATTATTTCAAAATTTGCTGAAATATTTAAGAACAAAATGAAAATATATACATGAAAACCGAAACATACGAGTATGTTCTAGATAAAACGTATGTGAACAGTAACCACACCTCCAATATCTGTTGGCAATTGAAATTTATGACTGAAGGGTATGCAGATTTTGTCAAAAGGTGATTTTAGTGATTGGCCATTGTTCTAGCCAAGACGAATTTGTTAACGCCCGCATAACGATCATCTCAATCCAATATACTGATTTTTTTAATGGCACAAGTTTTTATAAATGGTTTTATGAAAATAAAAAAAGAATAACTTCTAACCTAGTGTTTGTAATGGAAAATACTTTCTTCCATTGTACAAAAGTTAGTAAAAGGTGGTGACGGTAAATTTAAAAATAAGGTTTAAGACTGGATATGGATCATGCAGCTGATACATACAGTCTATTGTTAAAATATACTGCTAAATAAAACTCTTTTATTTACTCACAGCATACTGCACATCATTTTTAATTCTTTTAAATATATATTTATTTTCAAAAATATAATATTATAATTTATTAATTACATTTAACCAGTTATCTTGAGATGTATTGGTTTTCAAATATATCGTTTGTTATGGTTAGACACTTGTAATTTAATTCTTCTAACTTTGAGCTTTGAAATGCAAATTTTCGTTTTCTGTTGATCATAAGATGATTGCAGTGGCTCATGGAAATATTTAATATCGACTGCGAGTTGTGGTGAAACGATGAAATGGTAAGATGGGTGTCCTTGTAATAGAATGATAAGAAACATAAAATGTTTAATCGTTTGTGAAATGCGCTGCTAAAAAATATAATCAAAAGCCACGGCTGTATGAAATTTCTGTGAGTAATGAAAAATAGATTTTTTTAACATCTCTAAATGTAAATATCATGGATATTACCTAGTTATAAACCTCATAAAACAGGTAAAAGCACTTGATACAAGCGATGAAGAATAATTCAAAGAACAACACATTCTCGAAAACATCGAGAGAAGGTCTCAAGAAATGATAAAGTTATATTACAGAACAATAAAGAACTGCTTAAACTGCTTAAACCAGTCAGTTAATTATTGAAAGCTCTTACATGGCTAATATAAATGCACATGCTTCAAATCTTGTTTTGTCCAATTCCATCCAGACATTTTAGTATCACTGGCATACTAGCTAATCAAAACAGCTTAAAATGGTCGTAAAACCAGTTTCACTCAAAAAGAAAAAGTTTATTTTGGCATGATAATCCCAGATTGGCAAAAGAAACTTTTTATATCTGTTATAAAGATGACGGCATATGTAGATCATTTTAACTTTGTGCTTTGTTTCTGTTTGTGTTAAAAAAAAAGTAGTAACAATATATGCTAATTTTAAGTTTATTTTTATTTTAGTTCACAGCTAAACATGGTATCATTATGTGGAAATTTTAAAAATCACATAAATTAACTTTATTTGTTACAATTAAAATCAATGAAAACATGAAGTTTTTTTTTAAATAGATGCTGCCAATGAATAAAAGTAGACGTTTAAACAAAATCAGCAATATATTTACATAAAGTGAACAAAGATTATCAAATGGCTTACATCTATCAATTAGTTTTGACCCTGAAGAAATATATAAATGTCCGACCTCTTAAACATAAATCAAAAGAAAGAAGGTTTGAACAAAAAATCGAATGTTTTTTATAATAACCGACGGATTGGGATACCAACGCAATGTTTAAAAATCCGTATGAAGCTTGATTAAAGTACAACTGTGTACACATCCAAAAAAATACAAACAGTGAAATACAGTGAAACGAAAAAAAAAAACATTTTACTTTCATAGATTAGTTCACTAGAAACACAGATGCAATCCACTCTGTTGTACTGATTGATACTCGTATGTTACACAATAAACATTAAAATTCTAGTGTTTTTTATTCAATCCTATATAAGTAATAATCCTTTATAAATACCTAATCTTAAAACAAACTAAGTCAATTAGCCAAGTTCACTTTGTTGTTATATTTAATATCATATATTAAGAAATGTGTCAAAATATACAATTCCACTAATACTTACTTATAAAGGACGAATAACTATTATTTTCACTTCATCATTGAAACTTTCAATTCCTTCTGTATTAAAACTAACAAAGTCTGACTAATAACTCACAATTATTTTATAATTGAATCAATAAAAAAAACGAAAGAATTAAGAGTAAACGAAGACCAAAAAGCCACTGTAATGTAAATATTGATTCAGTAACTCCATTATCAGTTTATCATTCGAGAGTTTCGCGTAATGAACCAAATACCCAAACACTAGAACAGATAACACCACTTAATAAAATTGATAAAACATCAGCTATAAACATGAAAAAATTCAATATAAAAATATGAATAGTTATTATTTTTTAGTTAAAGAACCATCCTCGTTTATTTAACTTTGTAATTTCATGATCTTATGTTTGAAATGAAGTTTTTTAAGACTGTTTAATTTCTTTATGAAACTTAATTATCGTAAAAACAATAATAATTTAAAGTTTGGTATTAAAATTATATATACCATGCATATATCTTACGCTATTTTTTTTTTCAGTTAATCGTCTATCCAACTCGGCCTGGATTACAAACAATGGGTGCACTTGTGACAATGTTTTTCATCTGGTTAACAGCCTTCACTCTGGCTTCACCCCTATATATATTTAGAAGTCTAAAAAGGCACAAGGTTGGACTTTTAGGTATGGACTTCCTAAGTTTCTGCATAGAAGACTGGCCTATAGAAAATGGAAGAGGGATATATTCTCTATTTAGTTTAATTTTTCAATATCTTCTACCAGTGCTAGTGGTTGTCATAGCCCATGTCCAAATTCATAGAAGGCTACGCGGTAGAAGACGGACTACCAGGAAGACACCAGCCATTTTGATCGCCATAGCTGTTACTTACGTTATAAGTTGGTTGCCTCTGAACGTTTTCAACTTGGTTGCTGACTTCAGCAAAGATGCGATTCTAGACGAAAAGTCGATGACAATAACTTATGCTATTTGTCATATGTTCGGTATGTCCAGCGCTGTGTCAAACCCATTACTCTATGGCTGGCTCAATGATAACTTTAGAAAGGAATTTGAAGAAATTTTATGCTGTTGTAGAGTCAAGAGACAAAAGAATAAGAACTCAAGGATCAACAATAGAAAAATGGACACCGAATTGACTGCGCTTGCGCAATTGGAGCACACTGTTACAGCAAACACAAAGACATCACAGTGCTCACAAATTTTCTGACTAAAATCTTGTTTCAAATAGCATGAAACTATTGAAATCCAAAACGTTTGAACTCTTGTCAATTGATTATATAGTGTTTAGATTAGTTCGGTGTGAAAGTGTAAAAAGTTCCTTCGTCGTTGTAATAAATAAAAAAAATAATTATAATATTTATTGAATTATGTGTAAACTGTAAATATAGATCTTTCTTTAGTTATAGTTAAGGCAATTTACGTTTTATTGAGCCCAAAACGTAAATCGCCTTTCACCAATGTTACAAAAATGTGATTTTAAGTTATGTACTTAATTACACATTTTTTAATAAAATATTTTTCTCGATCCCGGCTTATTTTATTTTGCAATAATAATAAAAGAATCGTTACATACATATAATTGTGAATAATTTATAATCCTGTATTATTTATATTAAATAAGTATGAATTAAAATTAATTCTACTTATACAGAATGACTAGTGACAGAATAAGAATTTAAAATTTATTTTTATTTTATTTTTTTCGGCTTTGACATTCTGTACTTAAATAATTTATTTTTATGTGAAACAATATAAAGATTATTCCATAAATTTCTAATACATCACAAAAAGAGTACGAAGAATAATTACATACACACTTTTACTATGACAAGTCTGGTTTTACAAGTTTAAAAGACTGCCTTCTAAATTTTGACCTATCCATTAGACGCTGCCTTGAAACCAGGAATATTAGCTTGAGTTTTGATACGTATTGAAGAAATGCCATCGAGGTTTAACTTTGCAAACGTTAATTTCTTTCAGTGATGAAATAGTTGCTTGAATCTGATGAAACCAGGTGGGCATGGTGTATTACAGAACTGGATCACCAAACTTGTTAAGCAAGATATCACGAAGTAGCACCTATTACAATAAAGTATGATGAAATCTTGTTTAAAAAAATATTTGTAAAATAAAATAAAATTTCCTCTCAATGTCTGAAAAAAAAAATAAACGATCAGATAAAGAAATTGTTCTTGACTATCCTAAAAAATATAGGGAAGATTGATAATACACAACAAACAATGACTGGGGCTGTGAAGTAGCTCTTGATAATTCAAGCGGGGGTTTTTGTCCTTTAGAAAACGAATTATGACAAGTTCGATTGTTCTTGCTTCCATAAAATAAAAATTCTTTTCATCAATCGAAACAAAAGTATCCACTGAGCAAAAAATCTTCAAAATATTGACACAGAAATTTTTTGCCTTAAGGCCCGTGAAGACCTTAAAACCTTTGTTATTTTATAAGATCTGAAAGTTGGTAAGTTATTATTTTATAAAAATTCATTCAGTTATTATTTTATAAAAACAGAAAGATTAGAAAGATGGCCTTTTATGTAGTTTGGGTTGCAGTAGCTTAGCCACGTAAACCATACTAAAAGCATTTAAAATAAAATTTAATGTCACGAAACGATAAAGATCGATTTTTGGTATTAAGTTCAAAATATTATTAAAAAAATACAATTTTTCACTACCAGACACTTAACATCGTGGCAGCTCCTTATCTGAAACCCTTAGTGTTCAGGATATTACATATAAGTCTAATTGAGTTATAGTATAAAAGCTGATCTTATACATGACACTTAAGTAATGAGTACATGATGTTTCGTCAGTACCCAGACATTTTTGATAGCTCCACCCCTTGTTAGACAAGCTTGTGCGATAGCTGTAGGAGCGAGCACGAGGTGCTATATACTATATATGTAAGTGCAAGAGAGATGACGGGTTAGGTTTTTGCGATCCCTGACCTTGAAGTTTTATGTATTTGATATTTCAGGAAATATCACCTTCTCATTAACAAGTAACATGCATAAAAATTCATTTGTGACCATTATTGAAATTATTAGGCATAATGGCTTGCACTACTTGGATTTTAAATGAGTAAAATATGTTATTCTTTTTCAATATCTCTATGCACTATCATTCACAGAAGCCTCAAGTCAGCCGCTTTATTACGAACGAACTGATATATAAATATAGATTATAGCAAAACTCGACGTGACGAGTTCAAAGTTTTCACTTGTTTTTGATCCAAGGGTTTCCTCAAATCATGAGTCGATTTTTGCAAAATTTGTTCCTTGGAACCTTTACATCTAAGAGCAAATAACAACATCTAAAATAAACTATCTGCAAAACTTATATATACTGCAAAGAGAAACTGCGTTAATGTATAGTAAAACATATGAAATTTTGTTTTTAATTAGGTATTTAAAAATTCATTACCGCTATTAAATTTGAGTATTTTAATTCAAATTATAATGAGTTAAATGCCTAGAAAATTTACGTAACGATGACATTGAATATACTTGAAACTATATTTTACATAACAGTGGGTAAGTATTTGACTGAGAATTTTTTGTATATTTTGAAATCCATCAGATACACAAAATTTTACCATTTTTTATTAAATATGTAGCTGTGGTACTTAAAGTACGTGGAGATGAAAACATGGGGGAGCAAAAACATAAAGAAGACGTGGATTTTAGTTACAACAAAACTGATATAGAAATTATGCTAGAATATTGTATGGACGAATATTCACAATGTGTAAGCATTGACAGGTAATCAATTAAAGGAATCAGTTAATTTTCAAATTCATAATGTAAATGATGGCAGTGCTAATTGCCCACAAATTTAGTAATCTGATTATGTGAAAGCAGTTAAATTTAACAACCATTTGTGTGATTGTGTTATTTTATAATGTATAAAATAACACAATCGCACAAATTATTGGTTAGCAGCAACCTTCAAATGAAATATTTTATAGGATAGTAGTTGCTTGCTGGTATAATAGATTTTTTAATAAAATCATTATCATAATATCATTTCAGGAAATTGCGGATGTGCGCAGAAAATAATAACAAGGTTAAGAAACAATTTGAATCTCTATGTGAAATGGAATATGAAAACTGTAGATCGAATAATAATGACAGTGAGTATTGTGCTAATACGGATAAAAATCAAGAATAGCGTTGTATTAAGTCCAAAATTTTATATCATTTATAAATAAAAATAACACTAAAAATATTTAGGTAGTAAAAAGTTATGAAACTAAATTTCCATCTCGTATAAGATAGCTTTACCGAAAAACTTCTTTCTTTAAAAAAATCCTGCATTGAGGTTGGGTAGAACTTTTGTTTCCCACTCTCTTTCTTTCTCTTATATTTATATCTTATAATTCCTTCATACTTCTTTCCTCTCCCGTTCAAATACACGGATATTAAAAATCAAAATGGTGGAAACTAACCCTCATATTGTCCAAAACCTATCGAAATTTGAATCTTGTTTTCAAGACAAAGACATTGAAAATATACGTAGAAACAGTTTACATTATATTAATTATAGATTTTTTTCAGCTTGGAATAATCTTGAAATAAAACAATTACTAAGATCCATTTACTTTGCACAATCTTAATTAGGTTAAAAATTTGAGAATTTTTTATTTATTTGAATATATATGTAAAGCTTTGGCCTTTTGCATACATCAGCAGTTTTTTTTATGCCTGTATGTGCATTAGACTTATTACATAAGAAATTTATGATAATATGCATTTAATTCTCTGCGTAATAATATTAAAATGTGGGGTCATTTATTTGTTTATAAATTAATCTATCAAAATATACTGATTTCAGGTACCTGGCACTATTTGAAAGATGAAAATTGTTAGATTATTTTATTTTTAGCTAATGAAAACTTAATCACGAAAACAAGCAGTATCATTTGTTACATTAAAATTTACAGATTTTTTTTTTTATTTTGAATACCACTCTATTTTTATATTCAAAACAGTTATATTTGCTTGTTCCGAGTAATCTATGACACCTGTACATGAGATGGAATTAAATAGTGGTGAAATAAAGCTAGTAAACAGAAAATATATACTTTCTTTATATTTTATGGATCGCTGCAAAACATATCAGATATTTAAAAAAAAATATAAAGTCACTTACTAAAAAAAAATTTCTGGTTCTTTATTAAGACTTATTTTTTAAAACCCTATAACAATACGCTTTAATAAAAAATATTTTTGTACTTATTCACCGTTTGTAAACTAAGGGTTCATTGCAAAATGTTAAATGTAAAAAAACTAAGCTCTAATGTACTAAACGTCTATGTACTGCTAACATCTTTTTTTCATTCTTAAAAATATGGTAAATTGTTAATTCTTTTCCTTTGTTATTTATAAAAAATTACCAATGAAATATGACGAAAAGATATTTTAATTTAAATTAAATTAACGACTATTTCTTTTACTTAAAGAGAATTTTTACTGATGAGGATCGCTCAGACTTAGCAATATTTTCACCCGGGCATAATTGAGATAAATTAAATTTGTAACTTCAATAATTAAGCTAATAGCAATTAAATTGCTTCGAAGTCAATATAATTATCATAATACATTTCAAATATTCTGTTGAATGAAATGAATTCATAATAAATAAAGTAACTATTAATAATATAAAACATTGTAATGAAGGAAAATGAAATGTTAAAACAATTCAAGACCATATATTTTATTAACGCCTTCGATTTTTATAGAGCAATCAACATCTCTCACGTTTTATCATGCCCCATTCTGAAACAAGATTTTTTGTTAACAAGAAACAATTTCACTAACCAAATTTTTAATCACAACTCAAGAAGATGTGTTTGTTTGTATATGTGGCATATGGCCCTCATACAGATCCAGCGATTTCTATGAGGTTCTTTCATTTGAAATCCTGTTTTCCTTGAAACGGTTCCTAGCTTATGTTTCATTAAAATTGTTTCAGTACAATAAGACTATCAGATGTATGCCAAAATGATGTCAGCAAGTTTGACGCACGATTACTTAATGATTTGTTTCACTCGTGCCCGTATAATCGTTCAATGAGTAATGCGTTAAGGTTCTTTTTTATTTCATTGAATTTTGTTGTTATTTTTCTATTTTGTTTACAATTATAAATTAATAAATATTTAATTTCTGACTGTAACTTATTAATTTTATTCAAA